AACTTAATGATTTCCTCATTTAAAAAGGTTTTTAAAGCTCTAGGTGTACGCAATGCTTCAAAGTATTCTCATGACTACGCTTATTTGTTATTTTTACCTTTTACTATAATTTTACAACTTGTTGTATATTTTTTCTGAACAGGGTAATCAAAAAAATGACAACCATCATGATAAGAAATTTTTAGAGAATAATTTTAGTAGTGAGGAAGTTATGGAGAAAAATATTGGCATTGAAGAAGTTCTAAAGAAAAATGTTGACAATGAGGTAAGTCTAGAGCAAACTATTGATGTTATGGAGGGTGTGGTGAAAGATTCTATACAAGATGGTAAAAGTAGTAAAAGAGTTGGTGATGACGAAGCCTGGATTGAGGATGCCGAGCCTGAAATCACTGCAATCACCCAACAGTTTTGTGACAAAAATACTTCTAATATGGGGAGTTTGGTGGATGATTCTGTACAACTTGGTAAAAATAGTTGTGAGGAAGGTGGTAAGGACAATAGCTGGAGTAATGATGCTTAGGCTCAAATAACTGTAATCACCCAAAAGTATTTCAATCAAAATATTGTACATGGTGATTGTTTAGGAGTGGAGAAAAATATTGCTACTATGCAGGAAGATCATATAGTTGTTGTTGATCATGACACACCTGAAATGAACCCTAGAGAAAGGAAACCAGCAGGGGTCATGAAGTCACCATTCATAAACACATTTGACTCTGGTGGCACAATCCAAGTTGTTGAAAACAAGCCAACTAAGTCAAAGAAGCCCATCTTGACTATAAAGTATTCTTTTGAGGGAAATGTTGACAATCCTGTTGATTTCAAAGTATTGTGTAAGTGGAACACTTTCATCAATAGAGGCTTAAGGACTAATGCGCCGTAAGTTTTATGTTTCAGTTTTTTCTTATTTCTTTTTTTGTTCTTGTTTATTTCGTGTTATGAACCATATCTTTTTATCATGATTCATCAGGGACGGTGTTTATACAGAGGCTGGCAATAAGCTAAATAAAATCTTTGAATTTGGAGTTGATGATATTGGAGAAAAAAAATGGTTCTTCACATTTGCATATCCCGGCCTACCCTTGTGTGATTCAGTACGTCAACACTTTAACTGTAAAATATAAACTGGTGATATACATTTTTAGTTTTTTCATACTGTAATTTTGTGACTGTGTATATTCTTCACATTTCAGCATATTGATGTAATTTTTTACTATTTGAGAAAGAAAGGGAAGTACGATGTTGATGTTCCAATAAGATTCACAATGACTGACTGTTGGTTTAACTGCTTGATTTCGAATTTGTACAAGGAGTTTTTGGAGAAAAATAGAGACATGAATTTGATTACTGAAACAGATCCAATTGTTGAGTACATACTTGGGTATTTTTTAAGATGTAATGTTCCTTGGTCTACTGTTGATGAAATCCTTTTCCCTATAAATCTGTTTGATAAGTGGCACTGGATATTGGCGAGATTGTCATTCAAAGATCTGCGCATTTATGTATATGATTCCATGAGTGGCGCGCGACAGAATAGTGCAGTTCAGAGATCAGTTGAGCCATACTCAGTGTTGCTCCCATATTTCCTTCATCGTATTGGTTTTGGGGACACAAAGGAGAATCCTATGGGAATCCCCGCCAATGATCCTTTTGAGATTCATGTCGTTGATGGGTTTCCAATGCAAGATAACACGTAAATTATTATTGAATATTTCTGATTCTTATTCATTTTTTGTATATGAATTTCTATTTGGATATTATCTTAACTTTTATTCAATGTTTATGTGCTACCTTGTATGTAGTGATTGTGGTGTTTATGTTGCTGCATTTGCTGAGTACATCATTCAAGGCAGCAATATTCCTAAAGCTATTGATATTGACGGGATACAAAATCGATATGGTATATTGCTATGGGATTATGGAGTGAAGAAACAAAGAGGACATGCAGTTAGTGATGATGAGTCTACTGGTAGATTGAAGGATAAGATAAAAAAGGATAACAAGAAAAAGAGCAAGTCGCATTCCATTGTTGATGACAAGTCTTTGAAGGATAACATGAAAAAGGGCAAGACGCATGTTGGTGATGACGAGACTTTGAAGGATATCAAGAAAAAGGGCAAGTTGAAGGGCAAGATGAAGTAGTTTGGGATAGTTTAACAGAAACTTCACATGTAGTTTTAAGATGGAAGTAGTTTGGTTCTTATATTGTCTATGATAGGATACAGTTGCATACCTATATTACATTTTATGCTTTTTGTTTGGGTTGTCTTTGAACAATATGTTTGAAATGCTAATGTTGAAACAACTATTGCATTTTCCACAGCTTTTGCAAATTGGAAAGACATGCAAGAAATATATGTTGCTTGTAATGTTACGGTTTTGCTGTTTTCATATTATGCCAGTGAATAGGTGATAAGAAAGTGTTTAAAACCTGTCCTGTTGCATTGGGCCGGTTAAATTTACAATCTTAAGCACCGTGGCATCATTAATTGTAGCGTAAGTGTAAGATATTGTTAACTGTAGTTTTATATATCTATCTGTATATTTTTTGGATAGTCAGAGTCTATTGTATGTAATTGTATATATATACAATTTCTATTTTGTATATTTAATTGGCAGTCCCTCTTTTTTGTATAGTTTTTATATAATGACATCTATTTTGTATATGTTTTGTATAACTATAGTTTATTTTCTATTTTTTTTGTATAGGAACAAAATATTACATATAAATTGTATAGTGACAGTCTATTTTGTATATTTTTGTATAGTAACAGTCTTTTTTATATATTGTCATCTATTTTGTATAGTGACATCCATAATAGTATTTGAAATAAAACTTCTACCAATACTTTCATTATGACAAAAAGTAGCATCTTAATTCATACATCAGAGAGAATCTGATTGCAAATCTCATTATTTTTCTAATATTCTAATTGCAATATTCAATTTTTTTTTGCAAAATACTAAATCACTATAGCAACATCTACTAGTTGTCTTGAGCATTCCTACATGTTCTTCTATTATGTCCTTGTTTTCCACAAAGTCCACATGTAACAGTTTCAGTATACAGATATTCATAAAGTCCCTTGCGTCGCGACTTCGTCAGTATTCTTGGTTTGCCCTTCACTATCGGTGGTAGGACCACATTATCTAACACCTTTGTTGGAAGGTCCCATGTAGTTTCATCACGAAGTGGATTAACTGGTACTTCATATGTCTTCTTGAAGTATTCCTTGGTATAATGGGCAGAACAATATTTAGGTGCTTCCATGTGTGTGTAGTCCAATACTGCCATAGCATGTGGACTAGGAATCTCATCCACTTGAAATCGTTTGCACGAGCATTCTCTTTTTTGCATGTAGACTATGTTTCGCCTTTTTTTAGCATCCATTACTACATATACATAATCGGTTGAAGGCTTCACCTAAATTTAAATAGATATTATTAGTAACACTAAAACAGGGATATGACAAGTATTACTGCATTTTTGTCAAAGTATGTTACTCCGGCGTATGAAGTAAAACATAATAAAAGAATATTTACCGTCATCTTTTGCGACAAATAGCTATTTTCCTTCAGTACTTCATGATATTTTTGTCCTATGTCAATAAATGTACTCATTGCAGTCATTCTATTTGTATTATTCCATTCCATAACCAAATTCATCATGTAATCTAGCAAACTCATGATTGGTAGCTCTCTTGCCTCTCTGTTCCTTGCATTGAGTGACTCGGCAATATTTGAAGTCATCACCATGGATCTATTAACAATGGAATGCACTATAGACCACTTTTCATAACCAACTTGGAATAGGTAACCCCTTACCCTCTTATCAATGCTGTCCATATCTTCCATGAGGCGATTAAAATCTTCAATTTTGTATGCTCTGGCCATTGCAAAAAATACTTCCCTCAGCCGGTCATGGTTCTTATTGAACTGCTTCTTTATGTTATTCCAAAGATGAAAGATGCATACACAGTGAGATACCTCTGGATACACAATCGAAGCACCCCTCAATATGCTTGCATGACGATCCGATACGATGCACATCCTTTTCTTTTCCCCAAAAGCCTGTCTAAACATTTCAAAAAACCATTCCCAGGAAGCATCATTTTCAGAATCTACAACAGCATATGCTAGTGGAAAAATTTTACCCGCTTAAGCAAATAAGAAAGTATCCACATTTTATTTTTGTTATACACAAATAAGAACTATCTATACCATATATAATTATTATACGAGTCTGCAACATATTCACCTGTTGCATCTTGTGCGCTAGCTGTTAACATTGTTCCTCTGTGTGATGATTTGAGGAATGTCCCATCAACCACTATGATAGGGTAACAATATTTCCATCTTATGATTGATGCATTTAGTGCGATAAAAACATACATGAAGCGCTCGTCCTCTGATTTATGTAACCTTGTGACAGAACCAGGATTTGTCATATTTATCATATACAAGTGACCCGACAGTTTTCTATAAGATTCACGCGGTATCCCTCTTAGTAGTTCAAGCGCCTTTTCTTTTGTTCTATAAGCTTTTATGTTACTCTTATTAATCCCATACTGTTGTTTCATGTTGCTCATGATGTCTGTCTGAGTGTATATTATTTTTGGATTGGTATATTTGTTGCAAATCAGTTTTGCAATGGCTGACGAAGTAGCATGACGTTGTGAAAATAGTCTACTCATCTCTGGGCAAGTATGGACATCATTGAACCGGCTAATCTTGAAGACATTTGATTTGTGTAAACTTGAAAATCTAAGACTCCATTTACAACTTTCATCCACGCATGTAAGACAATACCTATTTAAAATATAATGTTATGATAATGCATTTCTTCAGATTTTTACACGTGTCTCAAATAAACAAGCAGTATACATATGCAATCTCACTATACAATAATTATACATTTTTATACATATCTATATAAAAAAATTACAGAGAAGTGCAATCTTATTATACAATAATTATACATTTTTTATACAGATCTGTATACAAAAAATTACAGAGAAGTGCAATCTTATTATACAATAATTATACATTTTTTTTATACAGATCTGTATATATACAGATATGTATATAAAAAATTACAGAGAAGTGCAATCTCACTATACAATAATTATACATTTTTTATACAGATCTATATACAAAAAAATTACAGAGAAGTGTTATCTTATTATACAATAATTATACATTTTTATACAGATCTGTATACAAAAATTACAGAGAAGTGCAATCTTAGTATACAATAATTATACATTTTTTATACAGATCTGTATACAAAAAATTACAGAGAAGTGTAATCTTATTATACAATAATTATACATTTTTATACATATCTGTATACAAAAATTACAGAGAAGTGCAATCTAATTATACAATAATTATACATTTTTTATACAAATCTGTATACAAAAAATTACAGAGAAGTGCAATCTCACTATACAATAATTATACATTTTTTTATCCAGATCTGTATACAAAAAATTACAGAGAAGTGCAATCTCACTATACAATAATTATACATTTTTTTATCCAGATCTGTATACAAAAAATTACAGAGAAGTGCAATCTCATAAGTAGAAATCATACCTTGTTGTAGATGATCTATCCACTATAAATTGACATTTTTTTCGTATTGCGTAGTGCTTCATTATACTAATGAGTGTATTTTTGTCCCAATACAACTGACCTTCTGCAATTTCTTCATGTTGTGGATTGTCTATTATACAATTTCCCTTCAATATCTCAATTTTGTCTTTCTTTACATGATTATCCATCATCTCAATAATATTAGTTCCATGTACTTCTTCTACGTTCTGACATTGTAAACCAACTGAAGTTGTTGCGAGTAAGTTTCCAGCTGAAGTTGTTGCAAGTAAGTTGCCACCCAAGTATGAACTTGAATATGAGCATTCAACACTTGAATATACAGTTTTCAATGTTATGCATAATGGATATTCAGTGATATCCAGGTTTTTCTTTTTCATCTCCATATACAAGCGCACACTCATATCATTGTATATTGGAATTGCTACATAGCCATCCTTCACTGTATATTTTATCTCCATTGCACTCGTAATTGAATCTCTACCCAATTGCTTGTATATCTCATCAACAAAATAATCATAGCTACAGTCCGAATTGATCAACACGCCATTAACAAGGAAATTAACAAATTTACTCTCACTTACCCATTCACTACTGTGTTGAAGTAAAATCGGAATCAAAGTTGGAACTGTAGTTCCAACATTCACAATCTCCATAGACATTTGTTGATTTTGTCGATTTTGTATCAATTTCACAATTTAAGAACGAAATCTCAACTCTATTAAGCTGATTGTAGGCAGCAATTGTGCAAAAAATTTGAATTTCAGCATGAATTTTTGAGAGCTCTTCTCTGGGTTTAATCTTTAAAAACCCTAGAATTTCTTTCACAATGTGAATAATTGGGCGACTTTTATAGTGTTTGGAGGTTGAAGATCCCATACTGAATGCGTGAATTTAGGATACAAAATCGATTAGGACTGCTTTCTTTTTCGTTTGCGTTGAGCGTATGGTTTCAGCTTTTTCAGTTGCTAGCCTTTGTTATTGTTTTGAGGCTATTACTTGTAAGAGATTATTTTGTGGCTATCAGGTGATATAAGTTTGGCTCTAGTGGCTATAAATGAAGTTTGCTCAAAATAAAAGGTGGGCTCTTTGGAGCAGCAGTAGCAGTGGGGTGCTTAAATCTCATTATTTCAACTAATTAATAGAGTTGTGTCCTTAGACTAGTAGATTTTAACAAATTTAAAATTATAATAAGGAGAAGTATTTTAAACATGGTTTAATTGCTAAACACAAGTTATATTTATGAAAATTTGTCCGTGGAAGTACCAAATGTGATATTTCTATTATTTAAAAAGTTTGATAAGTTATTCATTTCATTAGAATCAAAATTAAACTTGACTAATAACTACAGGAAAAAAGGGCACCCTAGTGCTTGAAGCAACTCACATTCATGCAGGATTCTGGGAAGAGTCGCACCCCAAGGGATGTAATGTAGGCAGCCTACTTTAATACAAGTATTAGTGGCTAATTTCACGACTAGAATTCGCGACCTGTCAATCATACGTATGCAATTTTATTACTGCTCTAAGGCTCCCTTCCAATAATTATTCTTTAATTGGATTGCCCATATTTAGTGAGTCATCAAAATTCTTACAAAAATGTGATGAAATGTTCGACAATTTTTATCGATCAGTAAATATTTTTAAAGTACTTTAATAAATAATGTCAGAGGTGTTCAATGAGACAACAGGGCCTAAACTTGGTTGGTGAAAGGAGTGGTGGTTATGCAACTAGAGACGAAGGCAGATTTTGTCCTCTTCTTCCTTGAGCTAATTAATAAAAAGAATTAAACTAGAAAGTTAATGATAAATATGGGATATAAATAATGACATAACCTGATAATTTACGTGCAAAATTGAGCTATTTTTTTAAATATAAAATTTGGTTATTTACGAAAACAATAATAATATACTCAGTATAATCTTATATGTGGAGTCTGAGAAAGATAATGTGTATGCAGACCTTACCTTTAACTTGTGAAGGTTGAGAGATTGGTTTTGATAAACCCTCGGCTCAAGCAGAGCATTCCAAAGCAATTCTAAAAAAGAAAAATCGATAATGAAGAAGCCATAGAAAGGGAAAAAACAGTTGATGTTGTTTTGGAGGGAATAAAGTAATTTGCTCACTCATTATACCAAAAATAATTATTCATAATTATTAAGTTTAAAACTTGCATCCATTTTCAAGGCAATACACAACTTTTAAATGGTGTAAGGTATGGTGCAACATTAATGTTTTTCATGCAAAATGATTTTTGAAAAAAACGATTGTTAGATTATTTTTAGTGTTCGATAGGGCATTAAAGGTTATCAATAATACATGACCCAAAAAAAAGGTTATAAATAGTAAAAATAAGAGAAAACGTCTTGGCCATTGTTTTAGTAACATTACTATGATTGAGGCAAGTCACAAGAATCAGAATTGACATATTTGTTAAAAAAAATGATAAAGTTTTATTCAACTAGTTTGGGCACGCCTCGATTTTTTAACCTACCGTTTATTTTTTGAGAATCTTATGAAAATATTCAAAATAAATCCAAACTTACCAACTTTTAGCTATTAATTACATACTTAACAAAACTAGCTAAACTCATACAAAAATTGAAACCCCACATAAATAAGGATTCTTTCTCTCCAAGAATCATACGCAAAGATCTCTTTCCATATTTTTAAGCGTGATCAGAAACATTAGATGCAAGAAGGACATAAAATTTCAATGATAGGTAATAAACAAGGTGATGAAACACAAAGAAAAGAATATACAAGAATCCAAAAATCTAAGCGAAAAGGGACCTTTTTTCATGGGTATGGTTGAAATTCATTGAAAACGTATAAATTAGTCAATATGTAAAGTTTGAGGAAGATTGGAGATGATTTAGACTAGTTTTGAGTCAAAATCAGTTGTTGAAATCGAGTTTAAAAATTTCTCTGCCACACATGTATCAAGCATGTATCTCACGTATATGTATATTGAAGAAACTCACTGAAATCTTGATCGACATTGAAGCAGGGCAAAACATAGATGAAAGAAGAAAACACATGCAGAAGTTTGGAGAATTTTCTGTGTATTATCAATTGAATAGTGAAATGAATAAGCTAGCTACACCTATATATACAAGTTACAACTAATTGGTCAGCTGTTGCCAACTGTCTAACTAACCTCCACTATCAACATAATTAACTAATAACTAATTACACTACACTAACTAACGCAACTAAAAACAGATCAAGCCCTTAGTGCACGGTTAGGGAGTTGTCTAATTCCTTCACACATCCCCTCAAGCTAGGAGCCATGAAGATGTTCTTCATGCCTAGACTGGACAACAAATAATGATGTTGGGTGACACCCATACCCTTAGTGAGAATATCTGCCTGTTGTTCTGAAGAAAGAAGATGTAAAAGATGAACAAGTCCAAGTTGCACCTTCTCGCTAATGAAGCGACAGTCTATATCAATATGCTTTGTGCGCTTGTGAAACACTGGATTAGCAGCTATTTGAATCGCAGACTTACTGTCACACATCATAGACACAGGTTTCTGCATATGCACCCCCAATTCTTCAAACAAACCAGTCACCCAAACTATTTTTGCAACTGTTGATTCCAAACTTCGATACTCAGCCTCAGTTGAACTTCTGGATATAGTTATTTGTTTCTTCAACTTCCATGAGATCAAAGAGCTCCCAAACTTAATCAAATACCCAGTTACTAATCGCCTGATATTGGGGCAAGAGGCCCAATCAGTATCACAATAGGCTGTGAGTTGAGAGGAAACATCTGCTGACATTAGTATCCTCATGCCTGAGGATTGCTTGATATACTTGATCACCTTGATGACAACCTCTATATGTGATGTATTAGGACAATGCATGAACTGGATCAAGCATTGCACTGCAGATGCTATGTCTGGTCTAGTCATAGTGAGGTAGAGAAGTCTTCCAATCAATCTTTGATATGAACTAGGATCATCAAGAACTTTAACATCTTCAATACCAAACTGAGTGTCAAACTCCAATGTTGTAAGCTTCTTGTTGACCTCCAAAGATGCCCTCACTGGTTTTGAACCTGGGAGTCCTATATCTAAGATGAGTTCTAATGCATATTTTCTTTGATGCATTAGAATTCCCTCTTTGCTTCTAGAAAATTCAATCCCTAAGAAAAACTTAAGCTCCCCTAGGTCCTTGATTTTAAAAACTTGCTATAAGTACTCCTTAGTCTTCTGTATTAAGGCAGCATCATCTCCTGTAATTATTAGGTCATCAACATAAACTAGACCACTACTATTTTGCCTTGGACTTTTCTAGTGAATAAGGAATAGTCCAAGTGACTCTGATAGAACCCAAAAGTTGTCAATGTAGATGTTAGCTTAATGTTCCATTGTCTAGAAGCTTGCTTAAGACCATACAGTGATTTGAGAAGTCGACAAACTTGATGTTGTCCCTCACAAGCAAACCCTTGTGGTAATTCCATATATACTTCTTCAGTTAAATAACCTTGCAAAAATACAGTGTATACATCTATTTGATGAATGTCCCAATTATACATTGCTGCCAATGAAATAACAGTTCTCACTGTTACCATCTTGACAACATGGGAGCATGTTTCTTGATAATCAAGTCCCTCTCTTTGGCTATACCGTTTGGAAACCAACCTTACCTTAAGCCTTTCCACTTCACTTGTAGCTTTATATTTGATCTTGTATACCCATCGACAACCAATAGCCTTCTTCCCTGGTGGCAAATGCATCACTGTCCATGTTTTATTATATTACAATGTCTTGATCTCTGTCTGCATTGCTCTATCCATTTTGCATCCTTGACTACTTCTGCATAGTTTTTAGGCTCAGTGTCTGCAGAGAATTTGGTGATGAAACTTTGATACTTAGAGGATAAGAAGTCATAACCGATGACATCTGAGATAGGGTACAAACAAGCATGTGCTCCTGATTGTTTATCAGTCCTCATATAGTCTTTAAGCCAAATAGGTGGCTTAGTTGTTCTTCCTGATCTTCTTTCAGTCAATTCTGTTATTTGATGTTCTTCTACTGCTTCTATGTCTTCAACAAATTCTGTCACACCTTCATAAGGGTCCTGAGATTCATGATTTTCTTTATCAAGATCTGCTGATGCACCTGGAATCTGCTATGAAGTAGAATCTGCAACATCTTGATCATACAAAATGCTTCTACTTATAATATCTAAATCATCCACTACACAAAACCTCTGCAATTTTGTAATGTCAGTACTTTAGGAGCTTTGGTTTTTATGATTATCCTGGAAAGGAAATATGCTTTCATGAAATATAACATCTCTACTAATAAAGCACACTTTATTAGATAGATCAAATAGCTTGTATCCTTTCTGATGAACACCATATCCTAGCAACACTGATTTCACTGCTCTTGGACCAAACTTATCATGTTTTGGAAAAATAGTTGCATAACAGAGACAACCTATCACCCTCATGTGGGCCAAAGAAGGTGGACTGTTATATAATATTTCAAAAGGAGATCTACCTTTCAAGATGGTAGATGGTACCCTGTGTATTATATATGTTGCTGCTTCAACACATGTGCCCCAGAATCGAATTGGCAAATTAGATTGGAACCTAATGCTCTTGCTGTTTTTAGGATGTGCCCATGTTTTCTCTCCACCACT